TTGAAGATGAGAGCTTCGCCCTTGTTCCTGGTCCGGGCAGCACTGCTCTTGGGGGCAGTTTTGTCCGGGGGTTTCGGGGGTTTCGGGGGGGTACCCTTCTTACCGCCCTGCTTCCCGCCCTTGGAGCCGCTAGATTTCTCAGTATTTCTATTGGCTATTCCAGCCCTCTTCTTCGGTACGTCCACTGAAGCATTGGACTGATGGGCAACCGCCGCACTCTCCACCTGCACAGAGACTTTCCGTCTCTTAGGGCGTGCTGCGCCCTTTACTGGCGAAGGTGAGGGCCGATTTCGCTTCTGTCCCTGCGTAACGGCAAAGTGGAGGGCCTCGCTGGACATCGTATTGTTGCCCGCGAAGTTGAAGGCGTCCGTCTGGGTAGACTTCGGTTCCTTCTGTTCCGCCCTCTCTGCGACCTCTAGTCGCTTCCTGAGCCGCTCGTGGTCGTCCTGGGCCTCGTTCACGGTTGCACGGAGCTGTCGCAAGGCCTGCTTTAGGTCCTTCGCGATGTTGCTCTTCGTACTCGTGAACTCTATTATGGCGTCGAGTTGTCCCGCGATTGCCAGCAGCCTAGGGAGGGGCCCAAAGCTATTCATAGTTCTGATTAGCCCGGGCCAGTCCTTCGGCTGCTCTTCCGGCTGTCCACCGATCCCGGCCGTTGTCTCTGCATCGCGCGGAGATTTCGACCGTTTGTTCGGCTCTCTGTGTTCAGGAGATCTGGGTAGACCTCCCTTCGCGAACGGGTTCGCGGTCGCCTCCTCGGCGACTTGTTCAACTGGGGTTTGGGGTTTTTGGTTTTGTTGATGATTGTTTGAAATCATCCCGACTGTTGGGTCCCCCTTAGACCGCTATCCTACCGTGCAAATGGAATAGTCGCTGATTGATCCCCATGGGTGCCTATGCGAGCAGTGAGGTCCATGACGAGGGTTGACATAGGCCTTCATGGGGCGTTATGTTCAGAGCCGGATCGCGTAAGACGGGAATAACTCAACCGAACCTATTCCCACCGCAGCCCCAACTGGGTGGCACGGGAGGAACGTATTCTAAGGCCTGCCAGGGTTTTATGGGACGGAGACAAACAAGGCATTAGCTCAAACGTCGTTTCGGCCGGTTCCACCCGACTCTACTAAGAGAATGAAATACCTTGAGTGCCAGCCCGTAGCGTGGTTTATGGTAAGTTTCCACTCAGTGTCCTACATAATGCCAGTGTGTCAGTATACATACTTGCGATCTTACTGACATCGATCACAAGGCACCTTCCGGCGCTTCCCCTCGTTTGTTGTTCGATTAGCCGACTGGATCAGTACCGCAGCACTGGTGGTCCATCGTTTCCAGGGTGCACCACGGGGAGGCGAACAACTTCACACCCCAGGAGAAGGTCTTAGAGTTACCTCTATGGTAGTAGTGACCACATTGCCCCCGAGTGGCTGGGTGGATATACGATAAACAACAAGATAACAATATCAATGCTCAACCACAGACCAACAGACGTAACTCTTCATTGTGTATCTTCGTTCACGCATTTAACGGTTGAATTGAATATTATCAGTTCCGTGAACAACACGCCGCAGCGCTGGCATCGGATCACTTTGACGTTTCTATACATTCAATAGAACTTTTATGCAATATTGTTTGCGAGTTAGGGAGCAAGCTTATTTTCCGCGAGAAGCCCGAAAGATGTCGTTACTGAGGTCCTATGTTTTGAGATATTATGTTTTCAAAAAGTTCCGTCTGTTTGTCTGTCGCACAACTACTATAGAGTTCTCCAGATGCACAAAAGTGTGCGTGAGACCGTGCGCTACCTTTTTAAGTAGTTGTGATATCGCGATACCTTTTTGTTTCTTCTTCTTTGTTTTTATGTATGGATGTTGGATTTTAGTGTTCGTGAGATTGCGCTTGGAGATCTCTATGGGCATATCCTTAGGAGTGATCCAGGTAGAATTTTGAAAACGGCACTAGTACACTAACAAAATTTCAAATATTGTTTTTATGTGTCACACACATGAATTTTTGCAATGTGATCAACAAATGATATCTATGTGTCGGACACATACTTAATATGTGTACACATAAAAGCCATGTGTAACCACACATACTATTCATTTGACTCATAAATTTCATATGTGCTTCTGGGTGGATTCTGTTTATGTGTGTTCACATGAAAATCATGTGGAATTTCGTCAATAAAAATGTGTGGAATTTCATTAGTGTACAGAATACCAGTATCCAAGAAAATTGGAAGACCGGCATATAGGATAGATAGGGACAATAGAAAAACACATAAATAAAACATGAAAAAAAAAAATAAAAAACATTCATAAATGTATGATACACGCAGAGAAATGATTTTTAAATTCAAATGGATATATTTTTGGCTCAGGGCTTAATATATTTTTGGCATAGATTCAAATATATTATTCGGGGATCGAGGTAGGCCGTGCATTGAAACTGACGTGTTTTGAATTTGCTGCTGCTTTATTTTCTGAGAAGTTTATTGAAAATTTAGTACAATAAGTCCTTTAGCTGGTGCATTTTGGACACCAGAAAGCTTTTTCAATATTTTCGCGTGTGTTTATTAGTGCTGTGTTTGGTTATTTTAAAAAAAATGATTGAAAGAGTTTATAACATTACCGCGAGTGAACAAACCGGGTTTTTTCTTCTTCCTTCGCCGCCGCCGTGAAATGTTGCGAAAAAGCAGATCTCCGCTGAATTTTCTAATGTACGCGCTGTTGAATCGTGTCCATTTGGGTTTAGTTACAAGTGCATAATGATCCGGAAGCCGGACGATCTACGGAAGGAAATTGCTGGTGAAGGAAGCACGGAATGAAATACGAAGCGTTAGAGAAAATGTCCAAGGGATTCCAAAATAAGCAATTGACGACGGCGGAAGAGCAGAATATGGTGAGAGCTTTCCAATTATTTAAAAAAAATAAATAAATATCAAAATTAAACTAAATACATGCCAGGTTTGAAAAAAATATTTTCGAACCTGGAAGTGTGTATATATAACCAATATCCATTTGATAACGGTGATGCATACATGCGGGGCTTATTGTGAGTGAAAGTAACCTCGGAATGGGCGTGACTCTCCAGACATTCTGAAATGGGTTACTGGATCTGCAATAGAGCTATCACCTTCTAACTCCCGGACTAAAGCTGTCTACAATGACCATAAATGCGACATTGTAGAGAGAGTTCTTCCATAATAACACTGCCGGCCAGTGGGGGTTAGAGGGAATACACACACACACACACAGATTCAAATATATTATTCGGTTAATTCAAAGAAAAATAACCGGTTGTAGAGTTAATAATCTGTTTGTTGATTCTAAAAACTATTTTGTATTGTTGAAATAGTGATACAATATGTTTGAATCAATAACAAAATACATTAGGCCCTGAAACAAAAATCCATTTTTCTGCGTGTAGTTATGATCAACTCATGCTTTGGAATATGCGTGATAATATACAGTGTTGTAGCGGCGCCGGTGGTGTAGTGGTAAGCGTGATTACCTCTCACCCCAGCAGACCTGAGTTCAATCCCAGTCGGCGCCGCCGGGATATTCTGAGGCATAACAATTCTGATCACGCCTTCCTTCGGAAGGGAAGTCCCCGGTTCATGAGTTGATGATGGGTCGATAGGTGGTAGGGTCCAGGTGTGGGAGCTGCCTCTCTGGCGTCGGTAGAATTGGTGCTCAGCATGGCAAACATGATGAGATGAAGTAGATTGAAGCATTTTCAACAAGTTTGTTAAAAAAAAATTAGATTGAGTTTAATAAGTAATATGCCCAAACGAACGGTATGGTCTTCTTGCCCCCATCCCTACTACCTGGAAAACCTGTTTTCGACAGGACGTGGAAAGGAGCAAAATTCCCATATGGCAGGATACAACAGAAGAAAGGAGAAAGTTCAAACAAAGCACTAAAAATCTGTATAGTAGCATGGTGGAGCCGGAAATTGAGACTAGCAGCGACTCTGTCTGGGATAGTGAAACAGAAGACCCAGTTCCTTCAAACTTCTCCGGATTCAGTGATGAGGACCCCATCAATTCGGTCAGAGGCAACGACAATAACAACCCACAAAGCACCCCCCAGTCAATCGATGATTTAGCAACACAAGTAAGTCCAGCACTTCATAAGTAAGTTCAAACAATCGTTATATTAACATGCTACCCCAATAGATCCCTATTTAAATGTGTTAACATTGCCTATTAAACCCACACCGTCTCGAATGAACTAAATTCTCCTCTACTAGGGGAACAGTTTAAAGAGACGTAAATAGACGGAAGCACCATTGGTTGTCTCTTCTGGCGTTCAAGTAGCGGATCTATTGGACAGAGCAGGCCCAGACAACTGAGTCCCCAGACGGATGCAACCTGTGGTCTGCAAAAAAAATTCTTGTTCTACGATTTTTGTCATTATGTGACCATAATTTTTATCAATCCAAAGTTTGCATTTTTCATTATTTGTTTTTTGATTTTAATTTTTACTTTAAACTTGTTTTGCATATTTTTTCCCAGAAAAATATTATTTTTTTCTACAATTTTGTCTCATACGTCATTTCGAAAAGAGATGCCGTTTCCGTGCCACAATTTTTTGAAAAATTTCAACGACGCCATTTTGAAAGTAGAACAAGATCCAAAATGGCTGAATTATTGCCCATAACAAACAATCATGCAAAGATTCTTGCAAATCGGAGAAGGTCCCCGATTCGTCATTTGGCATGGAATTGCTCAGAAGAAACACTCCAATAATTAGTATTTGGTAAATAAAAATAAAGTATACTACCTGCAATCAAAGGGATCATCGACTTAAAAAAAATTTAGAGTATCCGAAGATCAGAATTAAAGAAATCAATTTTTAAATTAAATGAACTTTTCTTACAGCAAGTTTGAAGTTGGTTACATGGGCGTTTCCCTATAAGGGGGGCGTTTCTTCATTCATTCATCTATTTTCGTTTGCGCTGTATAAATACCTACCATAACACAAGTGACATACAATCAGTCAGCAGATATTCTCTGGTGTGAAGCAAGTTTACATATCTCTTGCGAAAAATGTTTCCTTAATCTTGTAAATTTTAATAAAACCCTCGCCGATAAGAAAATGGACAAGCTAACTACTATAAGTGCAGCACTGTTTATGGCAGCCGATGTCTGCGCCATAGTGAGCCTCGCGATGCCCGATTGGATTGTGACTAGCGTAGGTGGTATGTAGTAGGAGATTTGTTATTGTGGTAGTACAAAAGTTCACCGGATTACGCTTGTTTTAGGAGAAACCCGTCTAGGATTGATGTGGACCTGCATGACACTGTACAACCGACCACAAGTTTGCTTCACACCTGAACTACAGCCAGAGTGGCTCATAGCGCTCATCTGTATCTTTGTGGGATGCATCTGCATCACAACTACCATCATCCTGCTTGCTTCCAGCAACTGGGATCGGAACGTTATTCCCTACGCCAGATGGGTTGGTTTTACAGCAAGTAAGTTGAACCATAGATTCTAGTGTCCTTGGCACACGATCTAATGATATTTTGTCTTTGCAGTGGTACTGTTCTGTTTGGCAGCAGTGATCTTCCCGCTTGGGTTCCATGTCGATGAAATCGGAGGTCAACCGTACCATTTGCCACACTCGCATCAAGTGGGCATTTCGTATATCATGTTTGTACTAGCTCTCTGGATAACAGTAATCTCGGAATTGTTCGCCGAAAAAGTATGTTTGCCTCAATTCTAGGCACAGTGACATGATTCAATACCAAATCAACTTGCACAGTATTGTTTTCTAAACATAGGTAATCTCCAGTTTCTAATTTGTGGAATTGAACATAATTTTATCTGATTTAGTTTTACATTGTTTAAAATTAGTGCTTAATTGGGAATATAATGTGTGATATTAATGTAATTACATGGGATTCCATTTTATGCATATCACAATCTTTTAAAATAATTCTAATGTGGTTTGGACTGAAGCATGATGTCCGATTTTCAATCTCATGAATGAAGTTGTTGAATGCGCAGGGCTTATGTGCAATCTTATTGAACATTCATTTTCTTCCATACTGATGCAAAAGAACGCTGGATAATGTAAGCAGAAGAACCATAACATAAACAAATCTCTCTCGCATCTAGAACAGATGTGAATTCCACATGTCGTAGTGTACATGCTGCTGGATTCTGGTAGGGTATGTGTAATTTCATGTGGCAGGATGTGAAGTGACAATAAAGTGCAAAATCGTCGTCAGCAAGTTAGGAGTGTAGTATAAATTTAAATGAAAACGATCCATTTATCATGAAAACTGTGTCCTGTGTTTGCCTCCTTGTGCCATTGGCAATAGTACTGGGTACAGTCAGTGGAAACATAAGCTTTCAGAAGCCGAAAGTTCTCATCGTCACATTAATCAGAAATAAGGAACATACTCTGCCGTACTTCTTCTCTTATCTCGAAGACCTAGAATACCCGAAAGATCGCATCTCGTTGTGGTAATTATTGATCAACTAGTTTTTTTTTTCGTACAGCACATTGGTTTTGGTCTAATCGTCATCTTTTCTATGCTACTCATAGGATTCGTTCGGATCATAATGAAGATCGCAGCATCGACATCACCAAAGCTTGGTTAAAGAGAACCACAAAGTACTATCATAGTGTGGACTTTGGGTATCGCAGCGACGAGGAGAAGCGGTTTGATGAAAAAAGCAGCACGCACTGGTCTGAAGATCGGTTCGCCGATGTCATTCGGTTGAAACAGGAAGCTCTCGAGAAAGGGAGAAAAATGTGGGCTGATTTCGTAATGGTGAGTAACCTATTGCTCCTGCTTATGCTACAAGTCCTTTAAGAGACGGTCATTGGGAACTGAATGTTTAGTGTAACAACGTCTGTTTAGGGAATGCGACTGTATAAACAGTAAAATGCATAAATCCCTCTCATTCGGATTCACTATGAACAGACTATCTAACAGGTATATTTACTTCATGAATCGCAATGCAACTAGAATCATAAGGATGCTTTGACGATAGCGTTTATAAGGCTTACAATAATGGCTATAATGACAATCTAGTATTTTTGTGATGGGGATTCTTGTGCTTAACAACTCATTCATGACAAAAAAAAATGATATGAAAGTGATAAACAGTTGTCATGGGAATTTGATGGAGCCAATGGATTGGAATGAATTGACTAAAGCAAATGCATAATACCGTCAACATGGATGCTCTTCAAAGTTCGTAGATACAGCTAATCTAACTGGATTACCGTAAATGAAATTAAACTTATGAAATTGAAGATCGTTCTCGAATTGGGATTTGCACTTGGAGGAATTCTATAATAATTAACCAAATACTTCGGGCGGGAGTACCCCATTTGGCATAATGTCGTTCGGCGTAATGGTCATTTGGTGTATAAGTCCGAAAAAACGCTACTGATACCGATAACTAGTTCTGTTGTCTTCTTTTTTCATGGGCTGTACTTCAACGGAATATGAAAGAACAGCTCGTGATCAAAACAAGGGAAAGTTGTCGTTTAATGTGTATGTCCCTTCTTTTGAACATGGGATATCTATTGCACAACATACTCATATTGTTGTAGCCTTATACCTGGGCTACATGGTTGTACAGAAAATTCTATGTTTTTCAATCTGATGCTTAAAAATGTTTTTCGAACCATCGTTTAAAAATTGTGTTTACCTATTTAGGCGATTATTGTGAGCTGCTCTGCGGATAGCGTATGCTTCTTGCAGAACTTGACACTTTGTTCTAGATTGCTGAGTGGTTTGGTATTACATACCAACAATCAATTCGAAATTAACGATTTTAAATTGGCTCACTGGAACCTCACTGCCTCCTAGCAAGAAGTACGGTCGACTTGTTTCGCGCTCCGTTGTTTTGGAAGTTTTCTCGGTATTCGTTTGATATAAATTATCAGTTTTTTTCTCACTAAGTGACTCCTGGCATAGTTCCCGGTAAATTGATTGAAAAGTGAGTTTTTTTTTGGTAGAAAGTGTCATTTTCGGAAAGAGTAATCCGTGCTATTGGAAATTCGCGAACCAATTTGGGCATCATCGTTGCGTGGTCACGCATACGCGCTTACGCATACCCGCGCACGTATCATCATCATCGAGTGTGAGCACCCGTTTCTACATCTACATCGTTCATCGCCTGTGTGCGCTGAGTACCGAGACTCGATCAAGTGCACCACAACGAAGGTCATCCACGCAGCGCGTCTCTTCCAGCCATCTGCGTAAACGCCTACACATATAACGCTCGGTGGTAGTAGTATAGGATTATCAGATAAGTTTTTGTTTTTTTTTTGTTTCTTTTCCTCCCCCATTAGTTAAATTTTCATTTTGTATTTCTGTGTTTGTAGTGTTTTCTGTGTATTGTGTCTGTGTGTTCAGTGGGAGAGCATTTTGCGCTCCCACTAGTTGAACAAAATGGATGTTTTGTCAGAAGACGACATGGATGACCATTCATCTAAGAAAAATGATGATGTCATCAATGGTTCGTCGTCTCAGTCTGACAATGGGCAGGCTGAGAAAAGCTCCAGATTGCGGGCCTACCCGAATGACTCGACTGCCCCATGGGTTGTCTATTTTCAGCCCAAAAACAAACCCTTGAATGTTGTTCAGATATCTGATGATCTGACAAAGCGATTCTCTGCCGTGACCGAAATAACGAAGGTTAGGCACAACAAACTTCGCGTGACCGTCGCTAACCTGAAACAGGCCAATGAAATTGCTGTTTCCCAGTTTTTCACACTGGAATATAGGGTGTACATTCCAGCCTCTGATGTGGAGATCGAATGCGTGGTCACTGAGGCGAGCCTGAACCCCGAGATACTGGAGAAGCAAGCGGTTGGCCGATTTAAGAATCCCTTGCTTCCTCCGGTAAAGATACTGGCCGTTCATAGAATGAAGTCAGTATCGCTCAGCGAGGGTAAAAAGAGTTTTACCCCCACAGACTCGTTTCGGGTGACCTTTTCTGGATCTGCCCTTCCTCAATACATCGAGCTGGGAAAACTTCGTCTTCCTGTGCGGTTGTTTGTACCTCGGGTCATGAACTGCCAGAATTGCAAGCGGTTGGGACATACGGCCTCCCACTGCGGCAACAAGGCACGCTGCTCCACATGCGGGGAGAAGCATGAGGATGGCGCCTGCGCAGCTACTGCACCAAAATGCGTGTACTGCAATGGAACTCCTCCTCATGCTCTCTCGTGGTGCCCGGCGTACAAACAGCTCGGGGACAAAATGAAACGCTCCCTTAAGGAACGTTCCAGGCGGTCTTTTGCAGAAATGCTTAAGACAGCCACGCCATCGACCAATGACAAAAATCCCTTTTCTCTTTTGTCAGATGACGAGACTGACTTTGACTTGGCTGAGGAGGGAACTTCTTTCAGTTTTCCGGAAGGTTCTGCACGGAAACGAAAGCGCATCCGTTCGCGGATTGTTGCAAATAAAGAACCCCAAATCAGCTTGCCCAAATCAAGGAGTGGTGGAAAAAAGGAGACTTCTACTCCTCCTGGATTCCGCAGAACTGACTATACCCAGGATTTTCCACCTCTTCCGGGGACATCTTCTTCATCTGGGCTGTTCTCATTTGATGACATTGTGGACGGTATTCTCAAATACCTCAACATTTCTGATCCTCTGAAAAGCATTGTCCTCACATTGCTTCCTACTGTGAAATCCTTCTTGAAGCAATTGACTTCAAAATGGCCCCTTCTTGCAGCTATCATCTCCTTCGATGGATAATTTTCCAAACGAGGTCGGGGATTTGATCACTGTTCTACAGTGGAATTGTCGAAGTCTTATTCCGAAATTAGATTCGTTCAAGTATTTATTCCATAACAATAATTGCGATGCATTTGCCCTCTGTGAAACATGGCTCTCTTCAGAAATTGATCTCCCTTTTTATGATTTTAACATTATTCGATTGGATTGTGAGGATTCACGTGGAGGAGGGGTACTTTTGGGGATCAAAAAGTGCCATTCCTTCTATAGAGTGAATCTTCCCGAATTCCCCGGTATTGAAGTTGTCGCATGTCAGGCTACCATTAAATGTAAGAGCCTTTGTATTGCTTCTGTATATATTGCTCCTAGAGTCTCCGTTAATCGCAAACAACTTTTCGACATATGTGCGGTACTTCCCGCTCCATGGTTGATCATGGGAGATTTTAACTCCCACGGTACAGGCTGGGGGGAGCTGTACGATGATAACCGTTCTACTTTGATTTATGATCTCTGCGACAACTTCAACATGACAATACTTAACAATGGAGAAGTAACACGTTTGGCTGATCCATCCTCTAATGGTAGCAGATTAGACCTCACCTTTTGCTCCAATTCACTATCGTTGGATTGCACTTGGCATGTAATCCAGGATCCGCACGGTAGTGATCATCTGCCGATCAAAATTTCGATTGCCCGTGGGTTCAACTCGTCAGAATCCGTTAACGTCGCGTATGATCTAACCCGTAACATCGATTGGACTAAGTTCCAATCCGCGATAGGCGATACAGTATCGTCAGTGGAAGAGCTTCCGCCGTTGGAGGAATATAACTTCCTCTCTAATCTCATCGTCGACAGCGCACTTCAAGCTCAAACACGACCGGTGCCGCGATCGTCAATCCGTAAGAAAACGCCATCAACAATGCACGGAGGTTTACCGTAAAAAGTCCGACGCGTTTAAACTTTTTCGGAAACGCGGAACACGCGAGCATTTCGACGCATACACATCTCTTGAACGCGAACTCAAGAGCCTCATCAAGGCCAAAAAACGGGGTTACTGGCGGCAGTTTGTAGACGGATTGTCGCGCGAAACGTCTGAATACGCTTTGGAGTACGGCGCGAAGAATGCGTAACCGGTCCACTAACAACGAAAGCGAGGAATGCTCGGATCAATGGATTCTTAAATTCGCGCGAAAAGTGTGTCCGGATTCCGTGCCGTCGCAGTTGACTCCTCGCGAAACCGCGAATTCGGTAGACGAAAACAGTCAGCCTTTTTCAATGGTCGAACTTTCACTCGCTCTCCTTTCGTGTGGCAATTCTGCCCCGGGATCTGATAGAATCAAGTTCAACTTGCTGAAAAACCTCCCAGACGTCGCTAAGAGGCGCATGTTGAACTTGTACAATCAGTTCTTGGAGCTCAATATTGTTCCCGACGATTGGAGACGAGTAAGGGTGATAGCCATTAAAAAGCCTGATAAACCCGCGTCGGATCACAATTCGTATCGGCCCATCGCGATGCTGTCGTGTATTCGGAAATTGATGGAGAAAATGATCCTTTTTCGCCTCGACAAATGGGTTGAGACGAACCACCTTCTTTCAGATACTCAATTTGGTTTCCGTAGGGGTAAGGGAACGAACGACTGTCTCGCGTTGCTTTCCTCGGAAATTCAGTTAGCTTTTGCTAAGAAAGAGCAAATGGCTTCTGTGTTCTTGGATATCAAGGGGGCTTTTGATTCAGTATCCGTTGAAGTTCTTTCAGAGAAACTCCACGCTTGTGGATTGTCTCCATTAGTGAATAATTTTTTGTACAATTTGCTGTCAGAAAAACATATGAGCTTTTCTCATGGAAACTCTACAGCTTTTCGATTTAGCTACTTGGGTCTCCCCCAAGGCTCATGTTTAAGCCCCCTTTTGTACAATTTCTACGTTAGAGAAATTGACAATTGTCTTAATGACAATTGCACGTTGAGACAACTTGCAGATGACGGCGTAGTGTCTATCACAGGGCCAAAAGAGGTTGACCTGCAAGGACCCTTACAGGATACCTTGGACAATTTGTCTACTTGGGCTAT